TCAGCATTACAAATTATATACGGATTGCATGTTCGTCACATTTTTGTCATCGTCTATTCACTAATGTAGCTAAGCGGGAAAAAGCAACAGATATACATAGATACATTCGTATAAATCAGTGTTGGTTTTTGAAAAGAAATGAACGCAGCTGCTAAGGCACTCAACTTGTACCTAAAACATCCATAATGTACCTAAAATAAAGTGTTTTTCCTTATGAAATTCTTTTACTTCACTTTATAGCAAATTCAAATACCGTACAATGCAGTCACACGGTTTTATGTAAACACTGACAGTAAATAAAAAAATTATTAAGGGAAAATTATGAATTTCGCAGAACAGTATTTGGTGTGGGAATGCAAGGGTTATCGAATCTAAAGAGGTTATTCTGTGTGACTTGTTGGACATCGACATAGCTTTTGGTAACACTTCCTACGAATCTACTTAGTTACAGGGCATAGATCCCTTTACTTTTGGTTGGATCGTATCTTTGCTTCGTGAACGCGACACTTCATCGTTCTTAGGCGAAAATTGTGTAAGCGTTAAATGCGCTCACAGGAATATCTCATGCTTTCGTCCCTGTTGGCACACGTCTCCCTAATTTGATACTGGGGTTCAGATTGCGTTACAATGCTGGACACGTTGATTAAATCAAACGACATTGTGTGAGCAGCAGCTCTTCATTTGATGTTAAATTGATGTGACACTTAATGAAGGTCACCGCGAAAAACCACAAAAAGCTGTTAGATATTCTGATAATATCAAATATCTTGAAGCTACCATTGGCAAGAGGCTTAGTTAGAGCTTCCATTTAGATTATACGTAAAGTAAGATCAGGTGAGGTGAACTTAGATAAGTTGAGGTAAATTAGGGTGAGTTGAGCTGAGGTGAGATGAGTCAAAGTGAGATAAGGTGAGTTAAGGTGAGTCGAGGTGAAATAACATTACCGTGAAAACACAATGCCGGCGAACGGCGAACTCACCACAGCGAAATTACCGCTGTCAAAATTAGAACACCCGCCGGCATATGAAATTGAACACAACCAAAGCGAAATGCGGAGTTCGCTCGGCGGCGTTTCGTGGCGATAAATTTATTTCTATCGCTATGCAGGACGATGGCGGCAGTACATGCCAAAGCTGGCTGCATGTTTTTTTACTTTAAAAGATTTAGAAGAAAACAGCATGTAACATGAATTATTTTTGATGGTTGAAAAATACAGTGATCGATTCGTTAAATCTGGCTTAAAATAGAACAATAATTCCCCCTTGCCTTATATTTATATTTGTTATCATTTCATCATTTCAAAATATGGTTTCGTTTTTCAAAATATGGTCACCTAACTTATAAGTACGACGAAATGGTATCAGCTGTTTTCGTTACCGCTCTAATTCTGTTAAAGTAGGCGAAATAGCAGGGCGAACTTCGCCGTTCGCCGGGTATTGTGTTTCAAGCATTAGTTGGGATGAGTTGAGCTGTGGTGAGTTCAAGTGTGGTGAGGTGAACTAGTAAGTTAAGGTAAACTGAGGGGAGTTAAGCTGATTTTATTTTACATATGTCTATTTAATTCAGTGACAATATTAAAGCATACATTGAGGAGGCATATCCATCTGTGTCAATTTTGAATTAATTTTCTCTCTTTATTTTAAACTATTTAATTGAAAATTTGAGTAATTTTCTGCACTTCAGCTTCAAAATACCTTTCTAATGATATATATCATTCTATATACCTTAGACGCATAGTTTAGCTGTAAAACGTGTGTAAAGAAAACATGTTTGGCTATTTATATACTTATAAGACTCCCTAGAGTGACTTTATCTACAAATACTTATAAGACTCCCTAGAGTGACTTTATCTACAAGAACTAAGAGTGCCATACTGTGTTTTAGCAAGCTACAAAGGTCGCCTTGCCCAAGCGGATGAGACTTTGTCAACCGCGTACACCAATTTTTCTCAAGCAGCGATCAACACCCAATGGTACTCTTTAAAAAAAGAATCATTAAACAGAAATGTTGGATGAAGGAAGAAATTCCAAGTCATAACCCAAGTTCAATGAAATGCATGCCCTTTATTTTGATTATAGAAACATTCAATTGTATTGGGCCGATATACCAACGCCTCTCAGTCCGAAAATCGGAACAGATTTATAGTTGTCCATCACACAGCCAAACGAGCATTTGTACTCTTAATAGGAGAAAAGGGTGTAACACTGGCTTGGATAACAAGCCACTACGGGATAGAGGACAACACAGCGTCTTGAAGCGTCTTTATGTAACCGGAACCATTTTTTGATCACGATTTATAATCTTTTTTTTTTTACTTTTGAGAGGTACACTCAAAACATTCTAAAGCATCTTGGTTATCATTCATTGGTGCTTTAAACAGAAAACTGACTTGGCACGCAACGTTGAGAAGCGTATTACCCACTTCTACGCCTGCAAAACGGCTATAGCCAGGAAATGGGGTCTCAAACCTCACATAGTATATTGGATGTATACAGAGGTCATACGTCCCTTCTTAATTTAGGGCTTTATACTCTAATGGACATCACTGTATAAGGCGCTGACTAACTTTAAACTCACTAAGATCCTAAGGACGACATGCATGCATAGCTGGGTCGTAATCATTCCTTAAGGAATTAAATTACTCCCAATTACAAATTACAAGGAATTGTAATTAGGAATCAATGCCTTCAGTCCACAGCAAAGTAAACGATTACTTTCTCAATTCCTTGAAGTAATTTCTAATGGAATTGCTTTTTTTTGTTTCATTACAAGGAATTTCATATTGTCATTGGAATAAATTACGTGATAGTAATGTATTTTTTTCAATTCCTTTGAAAGTAATTGAAAATGTAATTAATTTTTTTTTTGAATTCCATTCCTCAAAGTAATTTAAAAAGTAAACGAAAAATTAATAAAAAAAAAAAAAATATTGCTGAATTGCAAGAGCTTTGTGAAATTTCTTGGTTGCTAACTGCATTGAATAAATAACTTATACCTAAGTAGTATTACTAATTGGACTTTTAGAAATCTGAATAACTTAAACTGTAGCTGTTCAGTTTATAGGGTAGCCGTTAAATTTTCCAGAACCTACCGCGAACGCGCTTCGCGGCAGATGAGACCCCTAAATCCACGCCCGACTACTTTCATGCTCGCCTTTCGGTAAAGAACGGTCCGGAATGGAATTTAAAAAAAAAAATACATTACTAGCACGTAATTTATCCCAATTACAATATGAAATTCCTTGTAATGAAACAAAAAAAAAACATTCCATTAGAAATTACTTCAAGGAATTGAGAAAGTAATAGATTCCTTTGCTTTGAACTGAAGGAATTGATTCCTAATTACAATTACTGATAAATGTAATTGTAATTGTAATGTAATTTCATTAACCCAGCTCTGCATGCATGCTAATTATATAGCCATTTACACTGATGTTTGAAAACTGAGCAGAGCTCCGAGCTATAAAATAAGCTGCGCTTTGACTTATCAACCAGCCTTCAGTAACTATCAGCGTAGCCAACTCATTTTTGAGAATTCCCCGATTTCGAGAATGAAATTCCCCGGATTTTGCCCGAAATTTCATACAATTCCCGACCCATAGATATTACAAAAAATACACAAAAATTTAATGTATTTTGATATATTTCTGGTCTTTCTGTTTATTGTATTTTTAAATGTAATACATCTATGTATTCATAAACCAAACCAAACTTTTATAAAATTGGTTAACAAATTAATAATAAAAAATGTTTATTTAATATTTACGTATGTGTTAGTGGTCGAAAAAATTTTAGTCGGATCAATTATTTTTATTTCGTTGTTTAATTTGAGTTATTTTTTATAAAAGTAGAGTTCATTCTTTTACAAATACCGTATAAATGCAACTTTGAAACTTTGTGCAATATTTGAAAAAATTCAATAAAATTTCGTAAAAATTTTGAGATTTTTAACTCGATTTTCTAGAAAGACTTTGAGTATGTCGTTTTGTAGCCCACTCAATTCTTTTATAATAAAGATCAAGTTTCAGGTGTCTAAAAATTTGCGTTTTAGAAAATTTTGCCGAAGCTTTTGCGGTTTTCTTCGATATGAAAATATTTTATGTTTATTCGTTATTTGAAAGCAAATGCGACAAACGAAATTCCCAAAAATCAACGGTGGTTTTTGACCATTTCAAACTTTGTTATACTAGAATTGAACGAGCTGAAATTCCCCACAAAAAACCGTCCATTCCCCACGCAAACTGAAATTCCCCGCAAATCGGGGAACTCCCCGTGAGTTGGCTTCCCTGGAACGTAGGTAAGCAAAAATGGCATCATAAATTGTTCTGTGTAAATCCAGTTTTTATTACAAAAAAATAAACAAACAAGTCTACAGTCACACTTTTTTTTAATTGTACACAATTTCCAGCAACTTTACCATTTAACTAATAAATGGCCGAAAAGCTGCCAAAGTACCCGCATAATCAACACTGGTGCAAATACATATAGACCTAGGAGCAACAGTCGCAACAACAACTACATACACCTCTGGCGGCAATGTCGGCATTTTACAACAACAATCGTCAGTCAAGATAGCAGCAGCAGCAGGTGTCTTGTATGTAAACATTTCGTGGGCATGGATGGGCTAGACACCACTAAGCACTTAACTCAACCCACAGTCAGACTGGGAAGTTTGACTGCCACGAGTTTGCATGCGTAAGTTAACGTCTGCATACATACATACACACATGTGTATGTGTTTCAATGTATGTATGGATATGCATCTCGCACTTGTTCGTGCATATTTAAATAGCCTTACGAACACACTTACATACATAAATTTGAAATAAAACAGTCTGCTCGACGATATGAGTATTCATTCACATTACTAAATGGTGCTTCGAATTTTTTATTCCTGTCAGAGAAAAAGTTTCAAAAGCACGTATTTTTATTCCAAATTTATCGCATTTTCGGGGTGTATATTTTTAAAGTTGGTAGCAAAAAGCTTACTACATACATACCTTGTCACTTAACGGTAAACGCCATCCAACGAATTTGAAACGGATGTCTGGAATGCGCCAGTTATTTTTGGCTTTAGAACTTTAATGCACACTTTGGGGGCAACACAAATGTAATTGATACATATTTCTTACAAAACAAAATTTAAAATTGTCTCTTTAATAGATAATCATATTTTTATATTAGCTTTTAATTATGGCATTTACTTTTCTAACTCGTTAATTCACTTTCAATCTTCATATATGTAAATCAAAACATATTCAAGTTTCACGAAATCTCCAGTTCCTCTAAAATTCATTTAAAAATTTATACATATATAACACAACAACAAACACACGAATTTTGCTGGGACTGCGCGTTCTACATATTTGTATGTATTTGAACAAAGTCATAAAAAAATTATACGCGTTCCGCACACCTGCTCGCACAACAACGACGCGTTCCTAACTGAATAACAAACGATCCAGGCACTGAGTTTTTGCGTAAAGTGGAAATTCCGTAAGTGAACACACCACTCTGCATGCCGAGTGTCCTACTAAAACTTCAAGTGCTGACGCCTGGATGCCTTTTGCTACATACAAGCGCATACAATTCCTTCTTTGCTCTCTTTTTAGCGCTCAATTGCTCTTTCTTAGTATATTTTTTAATTTAACACAGTTTTCATCGTCACAGGAAGAGCACCCACTGCCACCCCCCCTAATTTCCCTTTAGCACCCGCTACTGGGAAATGGGAAGGATTTCCCCCTTGCAAGTGCCTGGCCTGGAACCTTTGCTCAACTCCCAATCTCGGTGGACAACTCACTCCCGCAAGTACTTAACTAAGTAGATACTACATAGATCCTGTACTACTTATTCACGAATTCCTACACAACAACAACATACACATTTATAAATAGATAAGCAAAGCCATGCCACCCCACACTGAGGTACCAAGGCAAAGAGATCAAATGAGGTGGTTCGTTCACTCCCTCTGTGTTTAGTGCTTCGGTGGTATATATTCATCAAGTTGCAGGAAACTGTTGCTTCTGTGACAGAGACAGACAGGACAATCGATTTGTACTTATGTATGTAGTTATACGCAAATGCCCGCACAGTACAATGTAGTTGTAATTGAGTATTAAAAACTGAGAGTTTTGGTGCTCAAGAGCGCTTTCTGGTTTCTGACTCTCTTAAATAAAATTACCTGTATTACATGGTTAATGACCTGCTCTCAGCTCTTTTTCGCTAGAGAACACTATAATAACATTTATGTATGCCTGTGTTGTAAAAGCTCGGCGCGATATGTTCGCTCATTCACAGTCACCTCGTGGTTGTGAGCTTTTACTCCAACGTTTGGTCGCGTGTAGGTGTTTGTTTATGATTAGATTTGTTTGTCGCTTTACGCTGATTTTGGTGCCTTTTTGTGATTTTTTTTATTTACCTGATTTATGACGTACTACATATTTACATACATACATACATACATACGTATTTGCATACAATTTAAGTTGTACTTAATACTTTGCTTAAATAGTACTTTAGCGGGACTTTTGAGTACTCATGTGGTAAGAGGTAGTAAAGAGAAGGAATTAAGGGGTGATGACAGGGAAGGAACGTTCCGTACCCAGGAGTCCACGAAGGTGGGAAAAACTTTTGACTACCATACACCTGCGAGTGGCCAGAAGTGATTCTTGTGCGTACGGTTCATATCGCAGCTCACAACGTCCAGATATTTATATCCACGCATCTTCTGGGTAGCGATCAAACATTAATTCGGGAGCGAGCTAAAGTAAAAAGGCGTAAAACTTCGCGTGCGCTGGGTTTGGGTCCCGTCACATCAAAACCCCGCACATTGAAAAACAAAACGCAGCCTCGGATGATACCACCTTTTTCTAATGACGACCACGGCAACCGTACTATGGACTATGATTTGAGGGTGTGCACCTGGAATATCCGGACCCTTAATGGAGAATTCGCCTCTGCCCATCCGGTTAATGTCCTCGGGAAGACTAAGGCCATCGAAGAAATGCGATGGACGGGGCAAGGCAAGGTAAGCGTTGAGCCTTGCGACGTCTACTACAGTTGCCAAGTAAAGGAGCGCGAATTTGATGATGGATTTGTGGTGGGAGAGAGACTCCGTCGCAGAGTACTGGCGTTCACCCCGGTAAACGAACGTCTAGCCACAATCTGCATCAAAGCGAGATTTTCGAACATCTTGCTTATCTGTATCCATGCCCGAGCGGAAGTGAAGGTTGAGGTGTCCAAGGATCTCTTCTATAAGCAAATGGAGAGAACATATGAGCGCATCCCCGACACGATATAAAAATCGTGCTGCAATCGGTGGGCAAGGAAGGGATTTTTGGTGCCACTGCCGGAAAACTCAGCCTCCAAAACGAACGACGACGAAACGTCCGATAACGGACTGAGGCCTATCGACTTCGACGGGGGCCGAACATGGTAAGATCGAAAAGGGATAAACCCAGTCGACCATGTTATGACAGATGGAAGGCATTGTTCCAGTGTTTTAGACGTACGTATACTCGGAGGGCTAAACATCAACTCGGACCACTATCTTGTTGAAGCAAAGATACGCACACGCCTCTGTGCAGCAGAAAATGTTCGCCCAACAATGCACGGAAAGCTTAACGTCGAACACCTGCAATCACAACAGAACGGTCAATTTATTCGCTACTCGATTCTCACACCCGCTCTCACCAAACCGACACACGCGAGCGAGAACCAGATTTCCCGCTCATTAAGTACCGCCGCCGAAGAAGTAGTCGGATTTCAGCGCGCCCGATAGAACAACTGGTACGATGAGGAGTGTCAGGAATCTGCAGAGGAAAAAGATGCCTCCTACAGGGCCATGCTGCGACCGGGTGCAACGGGAGCCATATGGGACCATTATAGGGAACTGAAGAGGGAAGCGAGACGTATCTACCGCAATAAAAAGAGACAAGCCGAAATTCGTGAGTGCGAAGAGCTTGAAATGCTGGCCGACAGGAAACACGCCGGAAAATTTATGAGAGAGTTAGGCGACTTATGGAAGATATCAAGGCCAGGGTGAACTTCTATAATAACAACACATGCGCTCTAGAGACCGATGTGCAGAACGTACCCAAATTATGGAGAGAATACTTATCCACCCTATTGAATAGCAACAGCACTGAGAAGACGAACCCGAGCCCCCAGTCAATGACGATGGATTCGATGTCTCACCGTCTGACTATGATGATTACGCGCCTGAAAAACAACAAAGCTGTAAAGCTGACGGCCTGCCTGCCGAGCTATTCAACTGCAGCGGCGAGGAGCTGAAGGTGTACGCATCAACTCTTATGCAGAATATGCTCTGTTCAATCCTCAGGAAAGGCGACCCCGCCATACGCCCCAACTATCGTATGATCAGCCGTCACCGCGACCTAGAAGATCTTTTGTATCCCTGATGAGTCCTAACCCTGTCAGCCCATAATGTTATTAGCTTCCCTCGTCAATGCTAAATGTTTCTTGGCAGACGAACTCGTACCCTCAACGGCATCGACTGTGGAAGAACTGAAGCATTGCAGTCTTAGTCTGGCCAATACCGGACAATGCCTCACTGTGGAAATACGGTACATGTGAGTGCGCAGGTGATTATGGCCCGTCAGGTAGCCAATTCGTTGCTGACAAGAGCTTAATAGTGTCAAAGCACTCCTTAAGGAGTCTGGAGATGATCGTCCTATTGGAAAGGGCCCTTATAGCCACCTGACCATCTGAAAATATGACCAGAAACGCGCCTTTTACACCCTTTTCAAGGTCCAGTCCGCACAAATTGAGATTCCAAGTACCTCTACCTGATATACCGTAGACCAAGTACTCATTACAATAGAAAGTTGTATGCCAGGTCCAAAAACACCCGCTTCCGCTCTGTCCTTAATTTTTGATCCATCTGTGTACTAGTGTACATATCTGGGTTCTAGTTCTGGTAAACCATTTTACCAGACAATTCGGTTTGGAATCTTGACCTGAAATTTTTTTCCAAGGCAGATTTCTTTTGACATAGCGTCGCAGGACTCGCAGATTCCTAGACCTGGCATTTTGCTCACAATACATTTGTGTTGTGTCTTATTTTTAAAGTACTGTCAGAACTTTGCTGCTGCTTCTTGGACAAAAATGTGAAGTTAGGTCTAACCTTGGAGTCACTCTAAGATTGCTCCTGTTACCGACAGCAGATCTAACCTTTGGAGTTCGGACGGTAGTTGAGTATAGCTACGGTGAATATATTTATGAGAGCCGAATGCGGGACCAAAAATAATTTTGCTAATTTTTCCACAAAAACTTGCAGCCTTCTTCAATGATCCTAGGTGTATTAGCCCTGAAACAGTGTCCTTTCAGTAACATCACAAATTTGTAGGATAATTTTCTCGAGTAAAAAATCGTTAAATTAAAGTGCAATTTTAATGGCTTACCATTAATTTTCGGCAATTTTTTTTTTGTTGATGGTGTTACGCATTTTTTTCATGCTAAAAAATAAGTATGTTTGACCTTTTTTTTGAAAGAGAAGCCAATGAGCAGCACTTTCCACTCGCACTTTATTATACTCAATTTTAACGAGTTACAAAACTGTAAACCACATTTTTTTCTAAAGATTCTTATTAAAAAGTTAGGAGTTTTGGTAAAACATTGCAGAATAAATTTTTATAGTTTTTTGAACAAAGTTGTAAATTTGGTATTATATGGTTTGTGTAAGGAAAAGAGCCTTACTTTCATAAAATAAATAATAAACATTAAATAAACTAAGGAAAAATAGTCAAAACTTACTAAAATGACGAGTCCTAATTTCTATTCTGGTCGATTCGAATCACAGACATTTAGATTAGAGAATAATAACTGTTTATGGAGAAAATTACAATCATATACCTACATAAGTCAAAAACTCGTTCATAGGCTTTCCGTTTTGATGAGATATTAAGGCATCGAAACACTGACTGAATTACCAGGGCAATGGGTCAAAAAAGGGCGCTGTCCTGTATAATACATACATCATTCTATTAGTTTTGAGTTTATACCCCATGCTCGACCGAAAAGTCTTCGACAGGCCTACAAGGCTCAGGTAGCTTTACTAAGAGTCTTGTATAGATGGGAATTCTAACTTAGTCCCTTATCCAAGGTAACCCCGAGGTATTTGACTTCGTTAGAGTATTCAAGCACTGCTTCACCAAGGGTAAACGGTACCTAAAATTTCATTGCTTTTGAACTGGTGGGGCTATAAAGAGCTACCTGAAACTGAACTAGAAATTTGATTCCAATATTTAGTTTGGGTTTCCCTGCAGGGTAATTATTCTATACAAAACCACATACTCAAAGTAAGCATGAATTAATTAATAATTAATTATCCAGCCAAGGCTATTTTCTTACTTAGCAAATAGATCCAATTTAACCTTCACAAAAGGACTGGTCCCCACTAAAACGTATA